GGGATTCAATACAAAAGGGTCCGGTGCACCCACACACTGTTTGGATACGATCTGGGGATCTTTCAAGAAGATAGGTACGTAAGGCTCTGAATCTGGAATCCTCCGCATGTAAATTATAAATTTCACCACTGAACTCTAAACCTTGCAAATGAAATAACGGATGTAGCCTGCAAGGCAAACCAGAAGCTGCTCCATTAAATGTAGACCTTAGGTGTTTATCTCTTCTCCACCAGATTTAGTATTTAAAATCTTGTCTTGATTTGTTGCATCATCTAGAACCATGTTTCCCAACCCTTTTGGACTCATGACCCTCTTTTATAATAGCCAAGTAACCTGTGACCCCCCCACCACCACTTTTAGATAAAAATACATTTTTATGGGTACAGTCATTCCTTCTCAGAAAACAGAGGCGCCTTTCTTCCCCAAAGGGCCTATTTGTCATACACACACATCCATGCTAACTTTAATATATGGCTCTGAAAGATTAAGGAAAAAAAAATATTTAACAAGGGTTACTGTGCATATTAGGTGACCTGCAACCCCCTTGGGGTCAAAACCACCAGCTTGGGAAACACCAGTCTAGAAGTAGAAACTACAACTGGAAGCCTTGTTGACATAACAGAAACATTGCTCAACCTTGTAAAAACTAGCATGCTTCTAGTTGCAGGGCCTCGATATCAATCAGTCGGAAGGCAATCACCTCTGTAGTTAATTGAGACATTTATTCCAACAATCATGTTTAACCACCACATGAATCAAGGACATCCTGGTAAACTCAGTGAAATTAAGGTGAGACCTTACAGAGGACAATCAGCTTCCGATGAAAGTTTGCAGCAGGACACACACTGATTTTGAAAGCACCATCTGGATGGAAACCTAGTAGCCTTCCAGTGCTCCACATTGGATGGAATCTACTACATAATTAGTAGTAAATCTAGAATGGACTTTGGAAGTCACTTTGCCCAGCTCCTTGCTCATCACAGGAATTTTACAACATCCTTGAGAGATGGCCATCCAGAGGCTGTTTAGAAACCTCGAGAGAAGGAGAAGTCATCAGCTCCCAAAGCAATGGCTTCCACCACTGTGCAGGTCTTACAGTTAAGAATTATATAATTGTACGGACTTCAGCACACCTTTTGGAGCCCAGCTAGTTGAACAATCAAAAGGAGAAAAGCTACACATCTCCGATGAAAAATTCTCAGCACGTTGATCAAACGATGTTTTCTGGGATTCTTTGATGGAAGAAACCATGTCGGACTAGTCTCAAACAATTACCCAGCAGAGATTGCATCTTACTCTCCCATTTTGGGAGCCAATCAGTCCCTGAAGCTGATCTGACAGCATAAGACAAGATTGCAATACACTTGACAGATAGTTATCCTGCCTTTCCTTATAACACTCCAGGGAAAGTGTACAACAGAAATGGGAAATACTGTATGCAGCCCAACATATGTGAGTGGACTGCAACTCGATCATCTCTCACTGTTGGCTGTGCTAGCAAGGACTGGTGGGAGTTATAGACCCACCACAACTAGACAGCCATGTGCTCCCCATCCTTGGTTTCTGTTGTCCATTGATAAAAGTAATCAGAAAAGCTTTTATACAGATTCTTCTATATGTTTGGTCACTGCCTTTATCCCATCCCTTTAGCTTCTTCACCAGCCTTTCCCACCCCAAGACCCATTTATTTCCTATGACAAAGTCTTGCTGGAGCCACACAACTTTGCCTTCTCTCGCACCACTAACTCCTACTTGGCCTGCCCATATCACTCTCCTTGCCACTCACTGAAATCTGCTTGATGCATTTTCTATAAAGTGAAGCTCAGTAATACGATAATCCCAATGGCATGTGTTCGAGACAATAAAGCCTGTTAAACTCAGGGGAAATGGAATATATGTATTTAGGATTCAGCTGCAGCAATTTCAGGCTGCTATTACAGCTACTACTAATGCTGTTGCTACTACTGGTAGTAATAGCTGCCTTACGGTAGCTTAAGCCCATTGACTTGCTCCTCTTCACTGGTATGCTAAGCCACTGTTCCCCTTTCTTGTTATGTCCCCTGTTAAAACAGAATATTTCAGCACAACATGCCAATTTCTCCTTCCTTCTTCACCTCTTGGCAAAAACAACAATTTCCTTCAGCGATAGTTGTCATCTTTATTTTCTGGACTGCATTCCCCCCACCCCCTTTTCTCCTTCTTCCCACTGTCTCTGAGCTGGCAGAATGCCAGGCAGGGTTCTGCCAAGGTTGCCTATAGGCAAGTTTACTCATTCATACCCATCACTGTATGTTTTATTACCGGATGCTTGCAACAAAAATGCTTGAAGCGAACTCAGTGGCAGAGGGCGGGGGACAGAAGCATTGTCTTTCAGGTGAACAGTGGCAGCATGAAAGTTCTATCTGCGCTATCGCTATTGTGACAGCTTACACTGACACATACCACTCATCCCTTGATGTTACAGTCATCAAGGGATTACTCTGCACAGGTCAAGCCACCCCATTTTCCTCCATTAAAAATAGATGAAAGGTCCATTGGGATTTTTCCCACCTTCCCCCGGTTGGCATGTTGCTTTGATTCAAGGAGTGCTAGGAATTTGTGCTTTGACAGCTTTGGTGTGCACGTATCTTAGAGAATGGGGGCAAGGAATCAAAAATGGAAGGGAATCAATGTTCTTCATTACTGTAGGGAACTGTTTCCTTCTTCACAAGTCTGTCTTTTGGCTCTCACCTCCATCCCCTGCTTCATCAGTCTAGCAGTATCCCTTTAAGATGCATGTATTTCCTCTAAAGACACATATTGTGTACCTCCTCCCATTAAAAGATGCCACATGGATTGTGTAGCCTTCCTGTATATTCCTCAAGCAAGCAGCTCACGCACAATTTGGAAAGGGGCTCGTGGAAAGAGATGGTAGGATGTTTATTAATGAGTTTTGGGTTGTTGTTTTCATTTATTTTTTTGGGGTTTTTTTTTTTGTTTTGCTTTTTGGGCTTTTTAATTTTTTTTTTCAAAAGTCAGCCCACCATACCCCCCCTGCACACTCAGACATGCACAGCCAACAGCCCACTCTGGCTCTCGGCAAAGGGTCCTTGGATGCCTTCGCTGAATCATTTCTCTGAAGAAATCGGGCAAAGGATGACAGAGAGAAGCAGATTGCGTCAACGGGTACAAACCCGGGCGAGCTTTCTGTAATTAGACAGTACATTAAAATTCCAAGCATGCCCCCTTAGCCTGGGCTGGAGGTGTGCGGGGAGAGGGGGGTTGGAAAGAGAATGAGGTAAATCCTTAACCCCTCCCCTGATCATCAGAGCCCTAGGCAACCCTGAATGATATGGTCCTTCCTCCTCTTCACCCCTCCCATCATGCAAATAGGACTGAACCAGCTGCAAAGCAAGACAATCAAGTGTTTCATAAAAAAGACTCAGCTCCATGGGGGGGGGGGTTAGGCGGGGGAAGCCGGCAGAGTGAAGAGGAAAATAGCAAGCTCCTTTTGAAAAGAAAAGCCAAACAGCCCCAGTGGGAATAGAAGACTCCCAAGTGAGGATGGCTTAAACTCTCATCAGCTTTTTCTTTCTCCCTCCTTCATCATATGGGGAAGGGTGGGTTGTTTAAGGAGATGGTTTTCAAATTATTTTCTGGAAGAGAGGTTTCTCAGTAACAGGTATACCCTTTTCCCCTTCTTGTCGTGTAATGATCACGCCAGGATTCCCCCCACTGTCAAAGTATTCCTTATATCTCCAGAAAGTATCCACCAAGGTATCCATTCATTCTAGCCTAAGGCATGAGATGCCATTCTGCCTCTACCTGGCCTTCCCACTATTCTTCTGAAAGCTTTCTCCCTTCCTTAATTCCGATGATGGGAGGTTGATCTTCACCCCCCCTGGCGACAGATCATGCCTACCAAGATGTTCAACTGGAATATACATCTATTTAACTGAAAAACACCCCAGAGTCTTTGAAATCCCACACCACTTCATTTTTCAATGACAATCATGGTCGGTGAAAGTCCCTGCGCCTCTCCACATCTCTCATAACTTATGAAACGGGTGTTTGTTCGTCTTCTTATCCCCCCCCCCAAAGCACCAGAAAACCTCCTTGAAGGTTTGGCTCTCTCTGTATGTGCGTTTGTTGGAGGTTTTCAGTGCCAACCCGCTGGTGCGTCTAGAAGGAAACTATATATATATATTTTTGGAAAACACGAAAGAAGGAAAAGGCGACCAGCGAAAGCCACCTCGTTCGCCCGATCTCCCCGCTTTGTAAAAATAATAATAATAATAAATCGCGCCTCCAGACTGAAGGAGTTGGCGGAGGAACGGGAGGAATATCCTTCAGCGGTAATTCTGTCGGAGCATCCGCTCGTTTCAAGGGCTGTAGGACCCCAGTCACGTTTTCCGATCCGAGCCTACTGCAAGAATATTTATGGGGTGCCCGTTCCACTCACTGCAACCACCGCCAGGCTCAGCAAGCAAATGGCATTTCCCA